TTTACTTGTGCGCAACAGTCTCCTCTAAAAAAAAAAAAAAAAAAAAATCAGGCTGTGGTACATTCAACAGCCATGATCATTCCTAATAAATTTCTTGAAGTCTGTAAGTCATGTAAGTGCAGTTAAATGGGGGAATTTGGCCTTGCTTAGTGCTAGTTCCTGTAGTATTCTAGATGAACTAGCCAACAGAATGACTGTTTTTTGACAGTGGACCTGATCCTCAAGGAAGCTGTAGCTTTCAAATGTACATATGAAAAGTTTTGTTTTGTGCATCTTTTTTTGTTGTTGTTGTCCATAAGTGACCGTAGGTGACTTAGTGATAAATTTTAAGTATAGACCTAAAAAAAAAAAAGATATACAGTCATCTCTGCGAGCAGTGCTACATACATTATTTTGTTTTAACTGCTAAGTGATCATTTATTTCTCGTATTAAAATTACTAAGGAAAATTTTAGATGGACAGTTGGCAATATAATGCTTATGAGGTCATTGATAATGGCCCCTTCCATTTTTGTGACAAGTGTACACGCAGTACTTACCCAAGAAAATTTTTAGGTACAGCAAATACAATGCACAGCTCAGATAAAATTCTCCATTAAGCAAACCATTTCCATGGTGGTGATACTGCAGTATTGCCTAATTAATGGAGAACCTGAAGCAATAAAACTTCCAAGGCTTCTGTTTTGCAGGAGGTGAGACTAAATGATCATGCTAGTTCCTCTTGCTTTTATAATCTATTACCAGAACACTCTTTCAGCTAAGCAAGCATTACATTTTGCTGCAAACTGGTTTTCCTTCATTTTACATATTTATCCAGGATGGCACTTTTCTTTTATTATTGCCTGGTAGACTGATTTTAAATATTCTCCCAGCAATAATGGAACAATAATTGAGTCTTACTTTGAAAAATCCTTACCACTGGCACCACTGTTTTAAAATAATACAGCCTACACTATGAGCTTTATTACTGGCAAAACTAACTGCTGCTCTAAAAAGTTATAACTTTACTGAAATTCATGAAATTGCATTACAAGAGTATTTGCCCTACTGTGCATTCACATATTTAACGAGAAAATGGCTCTTCACATGGTTCAGGAGAGTTACAGTACAATACAGGACCCCACACATGGTAGCTACATAAATATATAATTGTGGTAGGTTGAAGCAGTCTAAATTATTCAGTTAACCATTCAATTATTCAATTAACCATAATTACTCAGTTACCCCATTTGTTTGGTGTAAAGTAACTGGGAAATTTCCATGGGACGCTATGGTAAGAAGAGAGGCAGGACCCCTGCACATAGTAATTGCATTAGTACAGAGTTGTAAGATTGTTGCACATTGTTAGACAAGGACTTCAGCACGTAGTGCACATCTGCAGAGGTGGTACATTTTCAGTGACATTAACAGTCTTTGCAAGAGTCTGCAATATAGGGTGGGGGTCTTTTTCAGTCTGCCCTTCCACTCTGGTTTCTGGCAGGTGGTCTCAGCTGGCTCTTTTCATATTGACAATGGCCATTGATCTGCTTAATATAGATGTCCCATAACCATTGGATGGTGTCAGATGTTATATTAACATGTTTATGAAAAACAGAGTATTTGAAATCAGTTGCTTTTGTTTTAAAATTGGTCCATGTTTCTGGCTTCATTTGTTGTTTATTTTCTCCCCCTAAGAAATTGGAAGAGCAGGACCGAAAAGCTCTAAATATCAAAGAACAACTACAGCGGGAACACCGCTACCTCAAACGCAGATTGGAACAGCTCTCCATGCAGGGCATGGAACGCATCCGCACTGACAGCATGGGATCAACAATATCCACTGATTCGGAACAAGGTAATCCAGTAAGAGGTGCCCCTGGCTTCAGGAACAGTTGGGCTGAGTTTTTGCTGTCCTTGGTCAAATGAAATAGTGTTGTCTTTGAAGTCGACAGAATTAATCAAATAATGAGGCATCATTTCATGCAAGTAATGCGCAGTCTGGTCCTTGGGATTAGTGATAAATCAGTAATAGGTTCAAGTATTAAAAAAGAAATGTACTGCGATGTGATAGATCATTGTAAGGTCCAGTTAAATTGTTAGGAAATATATTACAAAATATATCATTGACTGCATCACATTTTTCCAACTGATGTAGTCTATGGCTTTTAAAGCACACGTAAGGTCCTTACTGCTATAAATCATTGTGCAGTTATTAAAATCAATGGACCTACCCTGGTTTTCACCCTCTCAGGATCTGGCTCAGGATCCTAGTAGCTCATTCATCAGTTTCTACAAGGCAGCGCATGGGGCTGTGTAACCACCCGAGCGTGAACCACACAGCAGTGTGAGAGCTATGGGAGGAGCAAGTCTCTTGCTTTGTGAGTAATAACAACATACGTTCCTCTCTGCCCTGATTTTAACAATAAAATGTAGGCCTTCTCATTTTCTGACTGCTGATTTCACACTCTGGCTAATGGAAATGATACAACTGTAGCAAGAGGATGATAGCCTGTAATAGATATTTAACTGTGTATTGGTTGTTCTGCCATATTTTCTGACTGTCAGAATATAAATGAAAAATATAAACAGTGCTCATTTTCTTAAGAGGCACTC